CGTGTCCAGCAAGATGAAGCAGTTTTTAATTAAAAGAATACAAATTGATGGTAGCGTAAACACAGAAGGGGCGTTGAGCGATCGAGTACACCATTGTTCGATTTAAGTAACGCTTCGCACCAGATTCTATAGCTTCTATAAACTGCGACGAACGATGAGTCTAATAAGCTAGAAAATAGATCCACCAGTACTTACCCTCAGCGTCAGGAATTTGAGTCTTACAAAGGTGTAAGCAGCTAGCAAGTTCGAAGTACTCGAAACCGACATAGAATAACCTATTCTTGGTCATTTGGCTCCAGGAGGTAAAAGGGCATTAGAATATTGACACCTGATCGACACTCCATCAACAACTGTGGCGGCGCAAACTATAGTAAAAAGAGGTCGATAGACACCTCACAAGACAGCACAACTGCATTTACAACCCCCCGAAAGTGACAGCCAGGGATATCGCTATTATCTCATCGACGTCTGATTTCGCATCGGTGTTAGCACCTTAACGACCCACCTGCTATTGGTGAAGCGTTTAGCGCTTCTTTTGCTGCTTCCATAAACATAGAAAGCGACCCAACACCTTGCTGTCCGAAACTTACAATAAGCGTCATATATAATGTCGAGATTTCTCTTTCGACCATCCAACATGCTAGGAAGTCCATTAAACCATAGACCAAACCAGACTCCGATGACATCCCCCATCAGTGATTGAACTCGGTGGACTTGAGATATCACGTTGTTGTCAGAATCTAGTTAGTTTCCGGATCATTGGAAAAATTGTTTATTGCCCCTTGTTATAAAGGGGGGTGCAAACAGAACGTCACCAATTAGTGACCTATCCATCATACTCCCATCATCGCTAGATTACTCGAAAAATTAAGTGAAAGTGGAACCATGGACTTTATCCATCGCCATGGACTGTCTAACAAATGCCAGCATGGGTTTCTCGATAAATGTTCCTGTACAAGGTGACAGTTGCACTACCTGGATTGCATCCCAGAATCCAGTAACTCCAACTATGCGGTTCTTGAATATGCAAAAAAGCATTCGACCAGGTGCTTCACAAACGGCTACTGAAAAAATCAGGTCATTTGGGATCAGAGACCCGCTACTGGGTTGGTTGACATAATAGCTAAATGGGCGTCACCATAGTCACTCTGTAATGGTAACTCTTCAGCACGCCAAATCACTACACCATTTCTCGGCCAAGTTGTCGTCTTGGGTAACAGAATTAATCTGAGGGGGAATCCAACATGAGTCTACTCAATTAATTTGGGCCGTGCGTACGCAACTTACTTGTGCAGGTGTGCGTGTATAGCCCGTCGACATAACTGTCCACGATCAACTGGACGAGGCAAGTTACGGACTTTGGTATCGGATGGCAACAACCTGCGTTATGCACAGGAGACACCGAAAGTGCAGCGAAATCCTGTGCTATGTTGCAAGGGTAGTGTGTGACTGACGTAACACGGAAACAGCAAATTCCTCATCCTTGCTACTTGGGGATCGTGCTACTGTTCCGTCGCGTTATAACGAGATGGCGCAACCAAAAACGCAGACATCTCCAAGTAGCAAGGAAGAGGAACTTGCTGTTTCCGTGTTACGTCAGTCACACACTACCCTTGCAAAATAGCACAGGATTTCGCTACACTTATCAGTGTCTCCTGTGCAAAACGCAGGTTGTTGTCATCGGATACCAAAGTCCGTAACTTGCCTCGTCCAGTTGATCGTGGACAGTTATGTCGACGGGCTATACACGCACAGCTACACACCTGCACAAGTGAGTGGCGTACGCACGGCTCAAATTAACTGAGTAGACTCATGTTGGATGCTCCTTCAGATTAATTCTGTTGCCCAAGACGACAACTTGGCCGGGAAATGGTGTAGTGGTGTCATCTAAGGGAGTGTACTAGGTTCTTCCCTTTCCCTACTCTATATTAACGATATCACGATGTGCAGGCCATTTTTGTTCGCCGATGACATTAATACTGTTTATAAATTTCGACGAAACGAACTCCAAAGCGCAACGTTGCACGTTAAAGAAGACATCGATTCACATGAGAAATGGTGCGACACATGGATGTTTGGTCCCTGAAGAGTCAGTTAAACTGAATAATGAACGCATCTGTGTGAAACTGTGTAATTGTGATCTAGACATACGATAACCTTCAAAATTCAATTTCAAAGAGCAGGCTGAATATCAGACAGCACGCGCCAAACGATCTATGGCTAATATATGCCATAAAATGAATATATTCTATGCCAAAATCGAGCTTTCAAAATACTCACACTTCCTGTCCTTGAGCACAGCGGCATCAGTTATGGGAATATGCGTATAGATGATAGGAAAGCGCTAGAAAATCTGCAGAGATCATTCACTAAACTTCCTTTTCAATAAATCGTCTTCATTGACCTATCAGGAGCGTTGTCAGCAGCTTAAGCTCGAGCCTCTTTGGTTGCGACGACTGAAACATGACCTGATGCTCATACACAATTTCATAAACTGAGATATTTATATCTCTAGAGTAGAAACACAACATAACTTCAGACGGAAACTTCGCTAGAAGACTTGTAAACTAATTATGCAAAGAACCAGGACAGCTAACTGACCAAGATTCTTCTTCCTCAGGTACATTGGCGTGTGGAATGGTCTACCAGCAACTATTAGGTACTGTACAAATGCAAGAACATTCGGCATTAAACCTGGAAATTTGCTAGACCATAACTCGATAATGACTATGTTTTCATTGGGCAAATCACGAAATGAGTTCTTCCAGGATGGACCAAATATATATCCAGCGAAAAAATTAGTCACACAAAACTCAGCAACAACAAAAGCCATATATTTCAAGATGTTTTGATGACATGTACGCTTCAAAATATCTATCTCATTCGTGCATGAGCATGAGTATTACTGTGCTAATGATCTGTCCCTATTTCAGGGACAGCCTCTCGCACAATCGAGAAAAATACGCATTATCATTATTATTCACGGGCCACTTGGCGCGATGTGGCGTCAGGAATCTGTTCAATTTTGTTCAGGATTCTTGTCCGAATGTCGGCATTTTTGGCCGCTTGTAGACCACAAACGTACATGAGGCACTTGCATTGGTTGCCTATCCTCATATGTAACTGTGACCGTTCGCCCTCACGATCCATACGGCTCGAACAACCGACCCAACCTTCGTCTTCGTTCTTAGTCATCGTCAGACATTTGTACCGGATGTTAAACAGATATAGCTGTTTCACAAATATGTGACAAAATTGAAACGACTTCGTCAAACGAAAATCAAGGCTCTTTTTCGGCAAAATAAAATTTCTGAAATTTTCCTGTCCGGCTGCATCCAGCTTACGGAGCATAAAACGGACTTCTACTCTGAGACGCTGACCAAATCAACCCGGAACATATCTTCATAACTGTGGAACAAGGAGGCGTATGTTATAGCGGCATCAGCGTCATAATGAAATTCACTAATTTGTTGAGTCATGGTTTCCGGAAAGGGGACACGTTCACTAGCCCCTACCCCTGAGCTTGACTGCATTGACAACTTCTGCATCAGCAGCTCAATCAGCATAGTCTGCGATTTTTCAAAATTGGCCTGTTGTTGCTGCAAGAGTGCCTGCAAATTTTCAGAGCTGAATGCCATTTTGGGGTTCGATTGAAAATCTCCGTCGTCACTGTTCCAAAGTTTCAGCTGCGGTACTAGTGCCTACGGTCCGCTCTACTTGGCGCCCAATCCAACCATGAAAACCAAAAGTCAAGGCTTGGTACACGGGGTCTATTCTACGGGAAGAGACGGTACTATTTACTGGTCAACCATACACTCTAAGCATGGAAAACATGATCACCTCATTTTCGGCGTCCTGGGCTAAACCAATGTGAACGCGTTCTCCTGGCTTAGTTTCCAGGTCTGGCCGTCTGTTCGAGTCTAGGCACGGCCCTCAATCACTCATTCGACATTCACCCGAGTTTGGCAGCTAGTCACATCACGCCTGTGTAGGCGCGCCAGGTTGAAAACCCTATCACATGAGTTTGTCAGCCACTGATGTCGCCCAGGAGTCCATAGTCAGTCAGCCCTTCGCGCGTCTGGCGTGAAACCCGTCGGCAAGGCCTAGTGTCGTACCGCCATGTGTAGGTGTTCGTTCCGTTTGGCCGCTTAATAAAATCGTAGCTGGTAACGAGAAGAATTTGACCAAGAGAAATAAAAGGTGTGAAACAAAACGGAGCCGGTGAGTTAACAATACAGCAAGCTGGATTGAGAGCCCTCAGAAGCAAGAGGAGAGGGTAGATCGAGATCGTCTTCGGCGGATTTGAAACTAAGATCAGTGGCAGTGCGCAATGAAAAAACAAAGGTGACACTGTGCTCGTCGATACTGCTTATAAACTAGTGGGAGAGCAAATTCTACCAAAGCACATGCAGCCACTATGAGATCCAGTTCGAAAGTGCCTCCGGGTTATCAGCCGAGGGCAACGCCGGGAACGCACATATTTCTGCCTATCGACTTTATTTCACCAGAGAGACGAAAAAACTATCAATTACGGTGTTTCGAATCCAGTGACCCTGTAGTAATTGACTCTTTGTGGTCCTGTATGTCAGTTCCAAAGACAACACGCATAAGTCTCGTGAAAGCAGAGTGAGAACCCGTTGAGCGATCAAACTTAAACTACTGGTGTCAAAATCGATTCTAGTCGGGATATCTGGTCTGAAGGACCATCTAAGCGCACAGTTAACACCAATATCGAAAGCAAAGGCAACCATGTGCTGGTTAACCCAAGCGAGGGGGACATGTAGATGAAGAACGGAAAAGATGACTCTCGCTGAACCTGATTAGTGCACGAGCACCTTGAAAGAAACAAGCAATTCCGTAGTCTGTCATGAGTGCCTTAATATGCCTGAAAAACTTAAAGAGCCTGCCATTCTAGGGATCAAGAAAAAGACATTTTTGTGGAATAAACATAAAACTTGCAGACTAAGGAAATATAAGTGAATTGGCAGCGAAAAACCTACCAAGATGTTAGGTGAGAAAGTTGTTTGTCGCGAGAATCCTGAGAAGAAATCAAAGACTTGGTCATAAGGCATGTGTACAAATCTCGATGCATGAAGGTGATCACCATGAGCCTCCTGGGATTCTTCGAGAACGGAACCGTAAGCATCATACTCCGCTCGTTTTGTTGGGTCCGACAATATCTAGGTTATTGACAAGATGAGTGAGGAAACGATCTACAAGTACTTCATAAGCTTTGTTCACTTCCATGAAACGTTCGTGTGCATCGATGCTAGGATTTTTATCAGGATGGCTGATCATTCATAAGGAAGCAAAAAGCAACACTTACATATTTTTCACCAGATTACGAAAGGCTCTCTTGATCTCTGCTGGAGACGCAGATCGCGAAATCCCTAGCACAGAGTAATGATCTGCATCTGAAAAGCCAATCAATGAAGAAAATAGCACAAATGGAGTCAAAAAAGTGAACATCTTTCGGCGCGCTGTTTGAAACATCCGCAGCAAGTGCATACAGGGAGTACATATGGTCTGAACTGAAAGAAAAACAAAAGTTTATGTCCACTATATCCAAAAAAATGAAAACGGAAAGCATGCATTTAATCTTATAAATTAGTGGTCAAGATGCAACTACTTATTATTACGCGACGAGAACCGCATAAGCAAAGTGAGTAGTTTTCAACATGTTACCACACAAATAGCCACATGTGATTCAACAGAGTCAACACCGAATGCGCGTTTGAGAGACAGTGAAGTCATCGAATGTTGACCACAGGCACACGACGAAGTGAAACGAAGTCTAAGCAAGCCAAAGAACTCGCTGTATCACTGTATCGAGGCTGGTGAGTTTAAGTTGTACCAGCATTAGCGTTGAATTAGTCTCCGTCACGTCAACGGTCAGGGACGCAGAGAAAGAAGAGTAGTTCCGATCTTATTCAGCGTCAACAAAGAGCTCTCTGACCAAGCTCGTTAATCTGTGGTATTTGAGTACTGGGTATTCACACAAAAAGAAATCGGAACAACTCAAACAGCCAACTTGAAATGTCTATTACACGGCCGATAACCGACCTCAAAAACAATCTGGGAACTCAATTTGTTCTGATACCGAGAAGTACAGGCAATATAAAACTCGTCTGACCATATGGCATTAAGCCCGCGTTATCAAATGGGACATGGTTTGTTAGCGCTTCACTGAGCATAGCTCCTTCAAATTGACAATCTTCCGGTGAGAAGTCACGTGAAATCCCTTTAAGTTTGGTTGATGAAATTATTCCAGACTGATTCTTTTTAGTTATGGAATTAAGAAACTAAAAGTGATGACGAAGTGTTAAAAGGGAGACAGAGAGTAAATAAGCTGTATTCTCTTAACCGCATATGCACCAGGTAAACACTGCTAAACAACACAAGAGGTAAGAATAAGGGAGTAGAACCCGACTGGGTTAATTGCAGATGGCTTACTTGCGGAGACACGGTAGCAGCAGGCTCGCGGTTCTTAGACCGGCCATTCGCAAGGTAATGGCATAATAGAAATTACATCATTAAAGGGAAATAAGGTGGAAGCAGCATGCAAGTACGTCGCAGCAACGCCTCGCTGTCACGCGACCACCAACAGTCATGAGAAAACGAGGGATACTACGATGTCATCCGAACATTTGTACACACGAATCGGCAAAAACTGAGGAATAAAATCCAGACCATAAAATCATCAGCAACACCAGCAGCATCTGCATCTTCCTACACCTTCAATTTGGGCGAGAAACAACACAGCTATTGTATCGCAACATGACGCAGTAAAATGTGCAAAAAATGTGAAAGAGAAAAATGGTAATATTAGGCACATGTATAATTATGCATTGGAAAGGGTGGTTGGGAGAAGGCAGTGCGATTAACAAAGGAATTCAGAACACAAACGCTAATGACATCGGCTCTTTATCGTGTCCACAATTGTATCATCATCATTCATCATTATACACATCAGCTAGAGGTGGAAAACACCTCCGCTATTGTGCCGCAATAATGAAGGAAATACATACATACATATAATACAATACACAAAGGAAAAATAGATACAACAGTTGCATGCCAGCTGAGCTACCAGCAACGGATAGGCATCGTTCCGGTAAGCTTCCAGCCAGCTACTAGGCAAAAGAAAAAAAATTATGTTTTACCCTAGGAAATGAGATCGTAGATGGAGGGGGAGGCTAAAAGGGATGGGGAGGGACAAAGAAACTCACAGCATGAACGCCACTGAGGTCGGCTCCTTGCCATGTCAGCAAGTGTATCCAGCCAAACGTGTTCACCGTCTTTTAGACCCCAACCAGGGAGCCGTGACGCTCCAACCGAGGCTAGCTCCGAAGTGAGGGACTTCATTCCCCTGGACCAAGTCATCGCTTGGCCACCTCTCCTCTTCTTCCACCCACATCCCCGGTGAGCAAACGCACGTCGAGGTAGTCGGTGGGCTGGCATGCGTAACACGTGGCCGAGCCATCGGAGCCTGGTGCGTGAAATGACGGTGCTGAGCGGTTCATTCCCTTTTCCTGGGAAGTAAACAATGCGTCGAACACGCTCGTTACTCACGCGGTGTTCCCACCAGATGTGAGCCAAACTGCGAAGGCACCGATGGTCGAACGTAACTAGCCTCTTCATGTCCGCCGACCTTATGGGCCAGGTTTCGCAACCGTACAGTAAGGTCGAACGTACCGCTGCATTGTACACTCTACCCTTCAGGGCGAGAGTGATGTCGCGCCGCCGCCATAGGTGGCGAAGGTTAGCAAAAGCACTTCGAGCTTTCGCTATACGGTTCGTGATCTCGTCTTCGATCCCAAGAGCGCTGATACAACTTCCCAGGTAATTGAATTTCTGAACGACTTCTAGCTGATCCCCACCAAGGGTCAGCGCAGGAAGCGATCCCTGCCAATCTTGGAGGAACGCTTTGCACTTCGACGGTGCAAAGCAAATCCCGAAGCGGCTGACAGCCAGTGCTAATCTGTCCAGCGCGGCTTGGCACGTCTGGGAGCTGTCACAGATGACGGCAATGTCGTCTGCATACTCCAAGTCAAGAAGTCGTTCTCCTGGGAGTAGCTCCACACCTTCCAAGTCATGTCCTGTAAATACAAACTCCATGACTTCGTCAATAGCGAAGTTGAAGAGGAAAGGTGACAGCGGGCATCCTTGTCTCACACCGCTGGAGATATTGAAGGGTGGCGACAGCTTGCCGTAAGCCCTCACTCTGCCCGTGCTACGCGCATATAATGCTTGGATAATATGTACATATTTCTCGGGCACACCTTTCCTGAGTAAACAATTCCAAAGGGCACATCGATCAACCGAATCGAAGGCACCTTTGATGTCGAGGAACACGACTAGGGTGGGCCGCCAATATGTGTGGCGGTGCTCCAACAACTGACGCAAGGTGAAGATGTGGTCGATGCAGCCACGACCACGACGAAACCCGGCTTGTTCCTCACGAATCTGGCTTTCACGAGCGCCAGTCAGTCTGTGAAGAATTATGGAGGCGAGTAATTTGGAGGCGATGGAGATCAGACTGATTCCTCTATGGTTGCCGCATTCCGAGCGCGAGCCGCCTTTGAAGATGGGAACAATAACGGAGCGGCTCCAGTCGGTTGGGACAGTCTCCTGCTCCCACAGTTTCACTAGTAATTCATGTAAAGCATCAACAAGAGCAGAGCCTCCGAATTTGAAGAGGGCTGGAAGAAGGTCATCTGGTCCCGCGGCTTTGTTCAACTTCAACAGTCCGATCTCACGTTCGACTTCTGAGCAAGAGGGTGGATCCAAAGGGACAGCCCACGGAGCAGGACGATCAGTGACCGGCGAAGAATCGAACAATTCTAGCCGATTAAATTGCTTTTCAAAATGCTCAGCCCAACGCTCCAAACGTTTTGACAAATTGTGGATAGGCTGTCCACTCTCATCACAAATTGTTTCACTAACACCAGGTCTCCTGCTGCCCGTTTCCCGTATCAGACGGAATAACTTACGATGGTTGCCAAGGGCAGCGGCCACTTCCATCTCTGATGCACGATGAGACCACCAAGATTCGCGGTCTCTCTTCAGGCTAGCACGGAGCCTTGCCCGGAGCTCTTTGCGAGTTTCATTGTGCTCGCTTCCAGCCGGAATATGCCGGCGAGCGTCGATAAGTTCCAGAGACCGAGAAGAGACCCAATGTCCATGTTGGCTTTTAGACATACCACATGAGGATTTGCCCGCTGCTAGTAAGGTCTGGCGAACATGTGACCAGTGACCACCAATTGTCTCCAGTGAGCGATTATTCAACTCGCATGTCAGCGTACTTCGATACGCATTCAGAACAGCTGGCTTTGTCAGTTGACTGGTGTCAATGCGCTCACGGCGTCGTCGTGGGCGTCCGCCAAAGCGCATCCGCATGTCAGCACATACAAGTGCATGATCGGTGTCCACACATGTGCTCCAAATCGAGCGACAATTCTGGACGCAGCCTCTCCAGCGGTAACTGATAGCAATGTGATCGATCTGCGTCCAAGGCTGGTGGGCGCCAAGTCACCCTCCGGCGGGTGCTGTGTCGGAAATTAGTGCTCGCAAGAAATAAGCGAGCATCTTCACACAAATGAAGTAACCGCTCACCGTTATCATTACGGGAGCCTACACCGTGCTGACCGCCCAGATGCATTTCATCAGTAGACAACTTTCCAAATTGTGCGTTCATATCCCCCGCCAGCACAACAGTGTCCGAGCTTCTTCTGTGGCGAAGGAGCTGAGTCAATTGGCGGTAGAAGTCGTTCTTTACCGAATCATCGCTACAGTTTGTGGGCGCGTAGGCAGTGATGATGAATAGACACCTATTAGTCCCGCGCGACTTCGAAGCTTTAAACGAGCCAGCCAATCGGACCGCACACATCCGGCTACTGGTTGGAATCCAACCAACCAGAGCAGCTTCAGCCCGGGGACTCAGGGCAATACCAACACCAGCTTGACCGGTGCTCGAAGCTGCATCGTCACCGGATAGGCGCACTGAGAAAATACTGTTTGCGTCACCTGAAGGGGATCGCAGAGTGAGCACAGAGCTCGAGTCTTGCAGGCGGGTCTCGGATAAGCAGCAGATATCGATCGAGAGGGTCTCCAATGTTCGGGCAAGTGCTGCCTGTTGACCGATCTGTAGTAGTGTGCGTACATTAAGGCATGCCAATCTGAAGGAGGATCGAGGGCTCCAAATGGAAGCCGATGAACTGGAATGGACCGCTTGGTTGGACATGGGCTTGTCGACAGGAGAGGAGTGACGCTCCGCGTTAGCATGAGTTGAAATTAGAAGATAAATGCCTAGCAAAGCATGTTGGGGGAGGGCCAAGAATCGGGGGGTTGAAAACTGGGGGGATATAAGTGAAGTTGGAACGGGACGGTAAGAGTGAAAAAGCGTAAGAGGGGGAATAAGAAGACGGGAAGGCTTGAGCAGTAGCATCCAAACCCCCATCCACCCTGCTCGATGCAGCAGATAGGGCACCGTTGATTATCCTCTGCGG